TGATTGAAGAATGCTAGTCAATGGCTTATGCTCCATTGGGAGTAACAAGCGTGAGTAAGTAAGTAATTAAGTAGTTAAAATCACTGATCATCATAAAATATCTGTAATCTCCAAGGTACAATTTATGCCCTATAGCTGTTAACATCAATATTGGTGATATCATATCAAGTCCATTAGTGTATAGTTTGAAGTTAAACTAGAAGTAAATAGAATCACCTTTCAACAATGACACTGAATATTGATTGACCAAAACAATAAAATGAATGAAGTTCCTAACTTAATAATCATTACAAGATTAGTATATTCTGAATTGTATCACATTCTATCATATTGATAAATCTTCTGATTGAATGCTTGAATCAGTTTCTTCTAGTCACCCAAAGCTAAATCTACACAACAATGCGAACATCAAAGAAAAGGTGCTAAATATAGAAAGAATGCTTTACTCCATGATTAGTTTATATACAGACAATTGGAGATATTTACAGTATTTCAGATAGCCTTGATCTACTGGAAACATCTGAAATCCTATTCAATATAATAACAGAATATATAATCATCCAATCAGAAATGTTATACGTGACATTTCACTTTCTAGATGTCTCTGAAAAACGTCTATTTACAGCTAATAGAATAAAATGTATCCCAGCATTTTCAGAGCCCTTCTGGTCTCTCCCTTAACACATAAAAAGTGGAATATCTCTATGTTGATTTAATTTGTAAAGTACGTTCTCCATTATTTTACTAGATAAATCAATAATATTCAATGAGAATATTCCTCAGGCATGATACTATAATTCATGGATAATCTTTGGAAGCGTTCACCTAGTAACTAGGACGAAATGAGGGTTATAAACCAGTTTAAGAAATTAAAATTGTGATTTACAATTGATGATTAAGGTTAAGAATTAGATTTGAGGATTTTCATCATGAACTAACATTAACTATAATACAAAAAGTCTATTTTTAAAAAATGGATAAATGAATTTCGCGCCAAAAATTTCAGACTTGTTATCTTACACCTGATTGGTTCATTCATAAATTAAAGTCTCGCCTCCCCAGATTAAATCAATAAACGGAAATGGGTTGTTTTGTTGTTTCCTATCAACTACCTTTTTCGTTGTTTTAATAGATTAGTTAGAGCAACAACCAGAAAAAAAACAAAAAAATCTATGCCAGAATTAATCCACATTTATGTAAATATATAATACATAGGCATAGATACAAAGATGTAGACGTAGACCCCCCGGTAACTAAATTGAACAATTCTATTGGAGCCATTCATAATTTACTAATAATTATTTTATGATTAAAATACATCATTATTGAAGAAAAAAACTGGTGACTTTATAAACAATGTGTGGACAATGACTAGTAATGGAATCTAGTTTGATACATGTCATTTCGTCCTATTTGAGACTCATCAGCTGGATGTACCTGCATCACAGACTTGTTAATATGTCGTGTTTGTTTGTTTGTTTGTCTTTCATTCGATTTTATGAAATGAATATTCTTAGATTCATTTGGTATTAGAAAGGGTTTTGTGGAGATTGTAGTAATTTCAACAGTTGAGATCATGAGTCAATTGAAGGTAGACCACCATGGAAAACCTGGGAGCACTGAGTGGCCGTTTCGTCCTATTGTGGGACACCTCAGCAGTGCGCATCCATGATCCCGCCTAGCGGGATTCGAACCCAGGACTTAGCAGCCTTGTGCCAGGTGCTTAACCAACTAGACCTCTGAACCTGCCGGCATCCAATGGTTTTAATCTCTAACTTCAACTAATCCACGAACGACTCATTCATCATTGTCATCAATGATTTACTATCTCACAACTGACCCGGTTGAACTCCATTTGGTATGGTTTGCTTGTATATTCCTATTGTTGCTAAGGTCTGCAACTGATCAGTCTCTTATTGGCATATATACATCCTGTACGGGTTGCATCGATTATTGCCTTATGTTACAAGCTTTTTAAGCAAAAAGTTTCTTGAATGTTTTGATTATGTAACTGGTTTAATTCAATTGAACATTTTCATAGTTCCAGCTGGTTCAACAAAATGTACAGTAGTGTTGTCAAATAAAGGTCAATGATCAATTTAATAACAATAACGATAGATTAGAACTACTGATGATAAAATCTATTGAAATGATTAGAATAAAACTATACAACTTGATTAGTTTCTTTTTGATTAAGTTTTGTTCTCTGAGCTGGATGGTTTGGTCGTGGAGCTTTAATTGTTCTTCTAAACGACATCATCAGCACGAACTTCAGATAGAAGTGAAGTGTTCGAATTTCTCCACATGAGGTTCACAGCTTATCCTGTAGACCTCGATGTTGATTGGTTCTTGTTGATCCTAAAACTGTCATTGTTTACTTCCTTGTTTTGACTGTACCTCCCATTAGTTTGATTTTTGTTCCTATGTTTGTGCACAAGTTTACTGATTGGTTGGTAAATTGGATCGATTTCATTGTGCATGTTGATTACTGATTGACCTGAATACCAATCCCCCAAAACTTATCTGGTGTTTTTGAAATTTCATCTATCCAAGATTCCCACATTTAATAGTCAAATAAGTGTCCTCAGTTGTCCGCGTTACTTACTTCCTTACGCTTGTTACCCCCCCCACCAATGGAACATAGGCCATCGACCAGAATTCTCCAACCAAATCACTCTGTCCTGGACCTTCTTTTCTTTTTCTATCCAATTGTTGTTCATTTTTCTCATGTCTATTTCCATTTCGCGGCGTAACGTATTCTTTGGTCTTCCTTGTCTCCTTCGGCATTGAGGATTCCATGTGAGGGCCTGCCTTGTGGTGCAGTTAGGTGCTTTCCTCAATGTGTGTTCTATCCACTTTCAACGCTACTTTCTGATTTTGGTTTGTTTCCTCCCACAGTAGGTTGTCGCAGTCAGTGTCTTGTCAACGTATCCGAAGTATTTTGCTTAGACAACTTGTTAATAAACACCTGTATCTTTTGGATGATGGCTTTCGTAGTTCTCCAAGTTTCCGCCTCATACAGTAGAACTGTCTTGATATTTGTATTGAAAATCCTGACCTTGGCGTTAGTTGATAGTCGTTTTAACTTCCAGATGTTCTTCAGTTGCAAATATTCTGTCCTTGCCTTGCCAATCCACGCCTTCACATCTGCATCAGATCCACCGTGTTCATCAATGATGCTGCCCAAATATGTAAAGGTTTTTACATCTTCCAAATCTTCTTCGTCAATTGTGGTTGGATTGGTTCATGCTGTGTTGTATCGGAGAACCTTGCTTTTTCCTTTGTGTATGTTGAGATCTACTGCTGCTGAGGCTGCTGCCAGACTGGTCGTCTTCTCCTTTATTTGTTGTTGCGTGTGCGATAGAACTCCACTTGGAGCTCCTCTGGGGCTTCTGCCGGTCCCAAGCCCGGATAAAAGAGGAGGGTTGGGCATGGGGTTAGTGACTCAACTCGTAGAACACTATCTCGCTAAAAGAACGCTAACAAGTTGTCAATATGCATTGATATAAGTGAGGAAATGTCATGACGTTTGACTGCTAATTGATGTTCATGCAGGCGCGGATGACGAGGGTGTGTGCCTTGTGCTGATGATGTCGTTCAAAAGAGCGATGAAAGCTCCACGACCAAACCATCCAGCCCAAAAACAAAACTCTATCAAAATCATCCACCTGAACTACAAATTTTCTCCACCATCTCAAAACCTGAACAGTCTTTACAACAAATTTTGTCATTCCTTGGAACTCCAAAGAATAGAAAAGAATATTGAAAGATCTAGTCGAAGTATATGGTTATTCTATGCACTGGTCAGTGAAGATTAAAAAATCCTTACTAGACAATAATGAAAAAATTATATCCTTTGATGTCACAACCTTTTTTTCCTTACAACGGCTCAGCAACGATGAAAAACACGTAGAATACAAGTTTAATTGAACTTATCTATGTCTCAAAACATTTTTCCATTACAATATAACCGCGAACAATGTAGTACTCATTGTGAAATATGTTAAACTGAGTTTTAATCCTCTGAAGTATTATTGCTATGAAATTCCAATCAATTGACCAATACTCTTTCAAAACTTTTTTGTTTTACAATGAATCTTTTAATGATTTCAATGAGTTTAAAAGAATCTAACTCAGAATTAAACATATGGTATGTGCCCCCAAATTCTCTGGTACGGTCGAGGATGAGGAGAGTCCGCCGTCCCACTCAAAATGCTCTCACATGGCCGCCCGTATACAGTCAATGTAAAAGAAGTCCTACTCACTGCGTTCTCGCGTTATTATTATTATTTATGAAATGGAGAGGAAGAAAAGCGAATGTCTAACACTTTCACCGGGTTGGTGGATATGGAGAGTCCACCTAGGAGGGGAGTTGGAAAACCTTGATTCCAAATCAATGGTGCACATAGAAACCAGGATCCTGAAGAAACACATGACTTATGAATTATCTATTGGTCACCGACTACCATAGAACTGCATTTCTTTACATTGCTCCATTGCCTTGTTGATCGGACCTTTAGATCGAAGGCTTCGGGTGTGGCCCCGTAAGAAAACTACCTGTTTCGGTTTGGCCATCTTGGCAGCATCACATCCTACATACAAAACAAGTGACTTTTGTGGCGCATATGTATTCGGTTCCCCTTTGTGCCAATATTTGTGTTCGAATAAATAAATAACAAATGGTATAATACAGAGTGCATCTATGATCCCGCCTCATGAGAACACTGAACCGGTATTCAGTGATGTTAATGTCTATCTTCAGCCAATCCACGAAACTGAGCCATCGCCCATCATTGTCTTCAGTGAGCGGGGTCGTGAATGTCGCACTGCTGAGTACCGTTATACTAGGACGAAGCGACCATCCAGTACTTCCAAGTTTTCCATAGTGATCCAACTTCAGCTAATTCATAAAATTTAATTATTAAAATGACTACAATCTTCACAATCCCCCCTCCTCTCCCTATCTGATACATTTTATAATATAGATTGTATTGACTTACCACTTTCAGCTGCTTTCCATAAACCTTTTTTAAAGATCATTTTTAATTTACGTTTCTTTTCAAAATCTGTCCCGAATACAGTTATAATTAATGTAGGTGGTTTTAAACCCCATTTACGTTTAAGAATATCACGTAATACAGAATCTGGCGTATCACTATTTAATTTACAAAACTGAATAAGAAAAAAAAGAAGAAGAAAAAGAAAAGAGACATGTCAATACATATTCTATAATCGATTTGATATGATCTTATTGAAATCATGAATTCATCAATAGTATTTGATCTACACTAAGAAGAACTTGACATAGATGACATTGATCACCTACCATCCAGTGATCAATCATTTGTGAATATATCTCAGTCCTATAGGAGATTAGTCGCGTGACGGATAGTCCAGTGGTAATGTCTGTGAATTTAAAGCTGTGTAACACTGGAGAATCTGTTCCCTCAAGATTACAGGTACAGCCTACTGGCAAGTGCCGAATAGCACGAAACCCGGGTCCAGAGTTTGCTATTGACGACCTTCAACCAACATCTTATTTTAACATAGTGCACGAAATACCAAGTCACCTTGACTAGTGGCAGCATTGCAACTTGGTCGATAGGATTCAATCGGCACTAAGAAGGACTTGACACACATGACAATGATCACTACCCCTTGAATAATCAATTGCAATTTAATCAATGTTAGACAACTATTGAAGATGATTATTTAATATTATAAATCGGTTGGAGTTAGATAATGAACGATGTTGAATCCTTGTTCAGTGGTTTGTTTGGGGGTTAAAGATCCGCGCTTGAGACTCCACTACCTGGGTTCGATTCCTGTGTGTGTGAGATGGTGAATGTGTGAAATGCTAAAGAGTCACATACTACGACAAAATGGCAATCTAGTGCTTTCAGGTATTTAATGATGGTTTAACATGGATTGGTTTATGATTTGAATGCAAATTAATAATCTTAACAGCCCTCATGAAAGTAAATCTCTGACGATTAATGAATGAAAGAAAACAAAAAATGGCAACTATTTGTTACCCTTTTCAATTAAACTTTAGATGTTAGTGATAAGTTATTAACATTGAATGATGAGTAGCAATTTAGACTTATTAAAGAAATTAGTAAATATTATTGATGTTCACCACAAGACTCGAACCCAGCAGGTACATCCAGCTGACGAGTCTCTTATAGGACGAAACGCGTATCAAACTGGATTCCACTACTACGCCACTATCCATCTTTGCTTAAAATGCTTGCGACTTAATAGTAATCTCGAGGCCATCCGTACAGGATGCACATATAACATCCTAACCAACAACTGGAAGATACAACTGAAACAACACTAAGTAAATTTGAATTCAATGCTCTTTCTTCTTATATCAAAACACTAGGGAATAACATGCATTGCCTTTTAATACCTTCCATTAGAATAATTACTTTTTCCTATCTTTTTTTCTTCTTTTAAGTTTCAGATATAGATTGTTCTTAATATCTACTTTGATATTCAGACAAGATAATTAGAATACTACTCTGATATACTGGAACGTTGTATGTTGGTTCACACACACACACATACATACATACATGTAGATTCAGTTATTTCTGTACATATCCATGTATTGTTTATCACTGTTTGTGTTATTTCGTTGTGGTAAATAGTTTCTTCTTTAAACAAACTATCATGTCAATAAAGGAAACTGATAGGATAAACAGAACATAGATCGTTTGACAAATCAAGAACATGTCAACTTTATTGAAATTGATCTATGTAAGTAGTGTTCTCAGTGGAGGATGAAATCAGGAAGAAGCGATGGAAGTGGATAAGACACACATTGAAGAATGCATCCAACTGCAACAGAAGGAAAGCCTTCACATGGAATCCCCAAGACTAAAGAAGAAGAGAAAGACCAAAGAACACATTACGCCGAGAAATGGAAACAGGCATGAGAAAAATGAACAACAATTGCATAAAAGTAGAAAGGAAGGTCCAGAACAGAGTGATTAGGTTGGAGAATGCTAGTCAATGGTCTGCGCTTCATTGTGGGTACCAGGTGTAAGTAAGTAAGTAAGTAGTGTAAATGTTTGCTCAGTTATAACACATATCAACATATACGAATGTAAAGATAAATGTAACATTCATTAAAGGATTGAAGATTTTATGTCATCTAATCCCTGAATGATAATTTGTTCTTGTTTAACTAAACGTTCCATATATAATAGTCATATATAGACCATCATGGAAAACCTGGAAACACTGGATGGTCGTTTCGTCCTATCACGGAACTCTTCAGTAGTGCAAATCCACGATCCCGCTTCGCGAGATTCGGACCCAGGACCTATCGGTCTGAAGTGCAAACCTGTAACTTTTAAGCCAGTGAATATGCCGGCATCATGAGTCACAATAATAAACTCTTTATCTTTCAATAAATTACATAATTTCTATCATTTACTCATCAATAAATATTGTTTATATTTAGCTTAGAGAAACATGAATTAAAGTAGAACATGATTATTATCAAATTTCAATTGAGATAATAAAGTGACCAATGTTAGACCATCATGCGCACCATCGATGTTTGAAGCTCACTATAAACGAAGATGCTGATTTTCTCACATATGTTGGTATCGTTAACCGAGAATGCGAGCGCTTCCGGTTGAAGTCGCTTACTGAAGACTAATTTAAAGCTTTCATTCTCATCTGCAGCCTACAATCCATTGGGGCTTCTCGCGTGGGTTCGAATCCCATCCTCGTCGCCAATTGTTATAGCCCAAAGCCACCATTTAGAAGTATAGAATTATCGATCGGACCAAGGATGCGTAGAACACGTGCGAGCAGCCTAGAGTCCTGATTGGTCCTACTTTACGCCTAGCCTGGCCTGTAAAGTCCAGAACACCAATCTTCATATTTCAAACATACTGAGTTTATATACCAATCAAACAGACCACAACGTACCAATAAAATATGAAACAACATTTATACAAGATTTGGCCAAATGTGGCTGTGAATGTCGGAGGTAGTAATTAATATACTGGGTATAACTCAAGAATGCTAAATCGTATAATAATGGTTCATAGGTCAAGATAAAGCTCATCATATGAGGAATATGAATATGCATAGTTTAGTTACTTAGTAATTATACAATAGAAATATACGTTTAGTATTGGTCCATCAATAGATCCCAAAAGTTACCATTCATTATTCTTGTCGGGACATAACACAGATCTTAGATTCTGACACGAAATTCACTCATTCATTTGACTAAATACCATTTTTTTTCATGATAGCTGATATTAGTTCATCATCATTATCAACAACAAAAAGCCATAGATCTGATTCTTAGTTCTAACCATCAATTGTATATCAATAAACCTTATCCTTCCCACAGATCTATAACTCTTATTTAGTTCTAGTTGGTAGATGAACATTCACAAGTTTCATTTACCGTAGCTCAAAGACTTTCCATACTTTATATTTTCATCGTTTGTATAAATAAAGGATATCAATTCCAAAAAAAACAAAACTGAATACATAAATATAGTTTACTTACTTCACCTGATAATAATTACTCTTAACAACAATATGACTCATTTATACGGGTGTGGTTATAAGTATAATATCACTAATCCCATAGTTTATTACTTGTCAACGGAAATGTTTATTATTAACTATAACTAAGGTAATAGTAAACTGTATATTTTATGAATCAACTTCAATAAAAACAACAACAACAACAACACCGACAACAACAACAACAACAACGACGATGATGACGACGACGACAACAAAATCGATTGAAAAAATGTAATCACGTTTTATTTTGTATAATTCAGTTTTCTTATTTAGATAATAATAAAAATGGATGATATTGTAATGTGTGGTACTTATATCAGTCAGTCAGCAACAACGTAGAGCTTTGTACGTATGTACGTATGTACGCAAGTACATCAGTTCGAGTTGCCATACAACATGAGAACAGAGATGCAGTTGTCGATTCAAATCTCGTAGTGGTAGAGGTAGTAAGAGTATGAGCAGTGATCGGAAACATTAGGGTTTCAAGATGTTATTCAAGGAGTATAATCCAGTGAAATAAATTCGGAAAGAGAAAAAGAAAGGGACATGAAGAATTCAGAAGGTTAGAATCTTAGAGAACACAGAGAGTGAATGCACCTGCGCCATTGTAAACGATTTTGAGCCATTTCATTCAAGGTCTCCAACCATCGGTTGCTATAGTCTCGCGGATCTGAACTAGGTAGTCTACACCTACCGAAATGACTCAGTCCACATGTCAGTGATTTCATGGATTTGTGCCTTGTTTTGGTCTGGCCGCCCCTAACATTCTTCTAACCTACTCCTACACCATAAAACATCGCTCGTCGGGGCAGTCGGTGGTTGGGTATACGTAACGTATGTCCCAGCCATCTCACCTGATGAATTTTCATTACTTCATCAATTGACTTGCCATCCTTACTTAGTACCCGTTGCCTAACAACAGCTACTTATATCAACACAAGTAGTATATAATTCTGGTCAGGAATAGAATGTCTGGCAGAAGAAGATCGAGGAGAAAAGAACGGGAAGAGAAAGCAATTAGTATGAAAATGCAGGAGTAATGACGTTTGAGATGATTGACTGATAACTGCAAATGAAGTATTTACTGTGTGGCTCTCAGACTTTACCGAGATGTCCTGTAATTTTCTGTTCAAATATATTTGATTATCCCCACTTGTGTTCTCGCTCAATACAACTTAATTAAAATATCTTTATCAGTGGATGAATGTATTTCGGACATATCATGACTTCGTAAACTGCTTTTTCAAAGAATAAATAACTATGGAGATATGTGGAGATTGTAGTATTTTCACAGTTGAAATCATAAGTCGATCAATATCAGACTACTATTGGAAACCTGAAAGTACTGAATGACAGTTTCGTCCTGGTATGGAACTCCTTAGTAGTGTGTGTTTACGACCCCATACCAAACGGACTCGAAAGCAGAACCTTCGGTCTCATGCGCTAACGCTTTAACTCTAGACTACTGGACTTGCCGGTATCCAACTGTGTTATTGTCTAAATTCAATCGGTTCCTTTCGTCCTAGCACGGGACTCTTCAACAGTACGCACCCAGGATCCCGCCTCGCGAGATTTGAACCGATGACCTATCGGTCTCAGGCGCG